TGGAATTTGGTCACAGGAAAGAAGGCGGGTGTGTTGAATTTCGAGAGAGATATGTTAGTCGAGGTCGGGGAAGGGAGATTTAGTAGTGGAGAGGGAAGGAGAGTCGCATGGGGTAATACAAAAGAGGGCGGGGAGGAGTTCTGCGTAGGATTCGAGAAAGGAATCTTGGTTTTCGGAATGGACTGTAAGGTTAGGTGCAAGATCGTACCAACACCAAGGTCCAAAATCCATCAACTGTCTTACGTGCAAGTGGGAGATGACGAAGATTCTCAAGTCTTGGCTGTCTCCACGGAGGATGGAAGAATCTTGTTCTATTCCACAAATACTGGAGACTTAGAAAGTGCAAAAGCTGCCGAAGGAAAAACACAGCCAATACCCGCCGCTAAGCTATTCGCACAACTTGGTGGTAAAGATAGCGGAGTAACTGGACGTATCAAGGATTTCGCCGTCTTGAACATTGGAGAAGGTTCTTCCAGAGACATTCTGATTGTGGCAGCAAGCAGTGATGGCGCTGTCAGACTATACAAATTATCTGCAGCCAAGGATTTGGCGCAAGTTGGAGAGAAAGTAAACCAAGTCGGAAAACTGATTGGTACATACGAGACCGGAAATCGCGTTACATGTTTGAAAGCGTTTGTTATGTTACCAGCTCCTGAAGGGGCAGAAGATGAAGAAATTGAGATAAATGAGGATGACGACGAGGAGAGTGGGGATAGTAGTAGTGATGATAGCGAATAAGATACCCTCTGATGAAGGATTTCCATCGATTTTAAGTTTTGTTGCATGATGCTGAGTCTTATTTGTGGTTGAGTAATGTGATAGTTCTTACAAGTGTGAAAGAAGGCAAGCAACTTTGTCATTTGAACCTCTGGTTTGGGATGAGTTGCATGTCAAGTAGAACACGCCCGCCAATATCTAAGATGAAACCTGGTCGGATTAATCATACATTGCTATTCTTAATCATCATAATGTTGAAGAAAGAATCACTTCTTTGATAAGATCATACACGTCTCCTGGCATTTCAAGAGGAGAAATGATTTCTGAAATCTCATGCCGCCAGATATCATCCCAGTAGGTATTCGATTCTTGTTATTCAAACTCGCTCGGCTATCAGACTACTCCGTTCATCCTGCACATCTACTCGGTATTGTCCCGGATTTAATTTTCATAGTGTATCAGTTTCGAAAGTTTGCCTTGATCTAATCAACAGGTTTTGATCTAGATTCTTCGCATTGATATTCATGATATTTTGACTAGCAGGTATACACGTAAAGAACACTCATACTTTTCTTTTCTTCGCAGAGTAGTATAAATACTTTGCGGAACTGTATTGATCCAAAAAAAATTGCCATCATGAGTTTTCTAATACTATGTTTCATGACTGTTCAAAACCTCGAGTGTTTGCGTGTTGATAGCTAGTAATTCATCATATTGTAAGGGTTACTGTAGGATATGATATATCTTCTAGATGTCATGGAGAAGTGTTCTTTTTGTTAATTGCGGCTGGCAAGTATAATGTACATAGGCCATCCATATCTATAACCTCGAAAGCTGCAATCATATGATACATAATAATCATAAGCGATAAGTCGAATCTTGCCTGTATTTCTGGTAACGAGTAGTTTCAAGATATTTTCACTAGAAAACTACACGATTGTTGGTGAGTGGTCAAAAGTATTACTTTTATGGGCTGGGTATGTTCATATGTAGAAGTATTTGAAACTTCGAAGTAAACCAGTCCTGCTAGCTTTCTTTGTAATGGTATCGCAACTGTATGATTTTGTATATTCAAATTAACCAATTTGATCCCTTCTTACCAACCCAGAATTCAGTCTTGGCTGCTGAATGGATAGTCAAGTGTCCAATGGGTGGGCTGAAATTGATTTTCTAAAGCTGCCATGTAGAATTGATCTGGATCAGATTATGTTTGTAAGCCCAACGGCCTATAGCGTTGGCGTGATAGTAACGATTTCGAGGCCCTTTTCATCGCACCCTACCCTCCTCTCCTGCTATGTAATATTTTTGGATTGATAATATACTCAGATTGTAGTTGTTATTCAATACACTGTCCGAGTTTCAGAATTGAATACATCCTTCTCCTTCTTTAGAGAAAGAGAGTGGACATAGGCTAGACGCGTGAGTTGAGTGTTCCATATGTCTCTGAATAGTGGATAAATGACTCTGCTGTGACCTGAAATATAAATTGGACATTCAAGTTTAGCTTGTGATCTTGGGGTTATGGTAGCTATGCTATACTGTAAGACTGTATGAATTCAAGAACCATGTTGTCATCGTGGAGATAGTGTTTAATATCAGGAGAAACGGACGATTACTTCTTAGGCTTTGATAACATACGAACTGTATAGAAACACACTCGAATATGGCTTTCCATATAAATTTGGCCATGCTTCTTCGCTCTCATCACCCATCTCTGCTACACTAAGAAGTAGAGTAAGTACAGCTGACAATGTAAATCGAGGTGATATATTTTAGACAACAAGTATCGAAACAACATCAGATACTTCGCGTGAGAACGCCGAACGCGACATGAATGATAACTACAATAGAGTTTTCAACCTAGATAGCAAATCTGCTGCACGACCTACCCTTGATATAGCTTGAGATCTTGAACTTCAAACTGGTTACACTCTTGTAGTGGGCAGAAATTGTGCTTATAGATCCAAGCTTCAGATTACAAGTCAAGTCTGATATCGGACGTATTATCTTGTTCACGGGAGATTTTGGAAAGGATTTCGAGGCGCGGGAAGGGTGAATGGACTGATTACGAACTATTTATTAACGGAACTGACATACAGTTTCTGTGCCAGACCCTGCCAATACTAGCAACCCCAGAAGCTGGATTAACAAAAAAGGGGAATTATATGATGATGCACATACAATCTACCTACATAGCGAGCTTGATTGCAGACGAGACATACTTTTGTCAGCTTGCAGACAATCTGCCTACAATTTACCCAGGGATGTCAAGCAGCTCTAAAATGAACTGTTTTCACCATTGATGTATTCAGCATTTCACGGATAATTTGATAGCAATAAAGCCGACAGACAAATCCGGATAAGTTGTTGCGCTGGATTTCGTGGATGCCCAGGCTAGAAATGAACAAGCTTTCTGCAACATTGTGTGTGGATGATTGCAAGTAAAAGAGAGAGCAATGATTCCCATGTTCAATGTGTTGACAGGAAATCACGTTGATGACACAAATCAGGGGACATACGGTGAGGTTGACACCATTTCAACACCGGAAAGACTTTTACCTTGCATGGGAGGTGATAATAAGTCGGGATCAAGCCGGGCCTCAATCTATGAAATTCCAGATGTCCCAGACGTTTAATTTGCGGAAATCTCGTTCTCTTGAAGATTCAAATCAGAGTGGAGTATCGATAGTCTGTTTGAATTGAAATAGAGAACTTCACCGAAACAATAGAGCTCCTCCCTCTTCTCTCAGAAGTATCCTCATAATCTCAGTTGACCATACCAGCCACTATGTGTTCCTTTGGAACAACAGCCTCTAAATCTCTAACTGCTTGCCTGGCATTTTCGCCAAAATCGACTGAGGGGCCAGCGCTTCCCATCATCATCTTCAATCGACCGGTTGTGTCGGTGACAATCATCTTCAGCATCAAGGTTCGTGCACACACTTCTTGAAATACCTTCAATGCAGCATTTTCACCTGTGCCTATTGTGAGTGTCAGTGGAATGGTAACACTTGAGGAACATTTGGCCACGAAAATATCCCAACAACCCAAGGCTTGACAATTATTCTAATCACTCAACGGGGTTTAGAAATTGAAAGCCTCTAGATATGAAACATCAAATTTCTGGCTACGATCTGGACTATTGTAACCCCTATACAATGCGCCAAACAGGGGGGAAAATATACATACCTGATGGTCCTGTGCTGAATTGATCGACATGTTGGAGACGACGTCCATTTAGAATGTTATCGTATTCGAGAAGCATGTAGCGACCACGCTTTACAAAATCCCAGAGAAAGAAGAGACTTGGACTTGGCTTGTGCGAGCTCCAGGAGGGATGTGCTTCTAATTCTCTATGCATGGGTCAGCGTTGGCAAAAGAACGTTCGGGAAGGATGGATATACTCTATGACCTTCTCCAAACGGGTCTTGATATCATCTCGAAGTTGAGCTGGGATGGGTGCCATGATGGGCCTTCTCTTTTTATTGCTAAGTTTTTCAGGGATTTCAAGCGGGAGAAGAGAATGTATCATTGGAATGACGAATGTAGCCCCCTATTTGTGGTTGTAAAGTAGGTAATATGATTGACTTCCGTGTTTGGATATTTTCATGTTTGCATGTTTCCATGTTTCCAAAGAGACGCAAAGATCGACAATAAACCTTATAGGTTAAGGATTGACATGAACGTGTCAATCAGTGAATCAAATCCGTACACTTAGAACTCATATATGCATGGTAAATATCAGGGTGAACATCCGCCAATCTACCTAGGTCGGTAGGTGTACTCCAGCCCCATCCATTGGCATCGAGGTCAGCTGGAGGATGATATTGCACATTGTGAATTTCATTCTCTGTGCAGCCATAATTGTTTAATGAATGAGTGGTAGCACGACTCAGTGGTCATACGGTATTCAGAACCGTTGATATATTTCGCCAAACTCGTTTGGGTATATAAACACTTGTTACCAATAACATTCCATCAAACTTTTGGAATGAATGAACGATTGGATCAATTTTGGTTGAATTAAGGGTTGTCCTGTCCTGTCTTCGAATTCCTACCTACCTGGTACCTACTCACCGGTGCGTACGAGCGTACCACTCACCAGCTCACCATTTCCCCTATTTAAATGAAACATCGGCAGAAGAAGAAAAAACCCCCCGACGATCTGGCCAGAAGTGATCCGTGCGCATTGTTGACCCTCCAATTGAGACTAGTGCCCCTCCATTAGTGTCTCTCAAACTCAACACGCTAAGGTATTGGTAAACGTAACTTTGTTGTATCTTAGTTGTCACCTTCGTACCTGGTGAAATCCAATTGATAAAACATTTTCTCTTTCTCTTTTCTTTATACTGGAAGGAAAGTCGAAAGGAAAGATGACTTCCAATCCTCAGAGTACCAATGGCTCTGAGAGCGAATTCGAGTTCATCGAAACCCCAAAAGCTCCCACACCGACCTTTGAAAAGTTCGAGCCATGTGGTGTAAGGACAACAGCTGTAAGTTCATAAAAAAATTCCAGAATTTCTTCATATCTGTCAACTTGGATTTGGAGTAAACAAGAAGGTCAATTGACTCTAACATATTATGACAATTAGTACCCAGCTATCAAGAATGCCCCTCTGCCTGCAGATGCTTCTGGCAATGATAGTTTCTCGAACACCCTCCTTTTCTCCCTCATTGGTGGTGTCCCTCTATACTTCTCCTGGAAGGTTGGTGGTGGATTCAAGACTACCATTTTCTTTGGTCTCATCACCACTATTCCCATTCTCCTCGCATTCTGGACAGTATTCTCCAGCTTCTCTCCACGCAAAAATGAGAAGGCCAAGTACCCAGGACGTCCAGTCGAGCATTATCTTACCTTTAAGAACGAAGCCGATAAAATAAAATACAGCGGAAAGAACAAGATTCCTATGGAAACTTTCCACAACATGTACTTCGATGGAGAAGTTGACTTCAACGGTGACGCCCTCGAGGTTCTCGAGTACCGTCACGACTGGGCAAGCTTCAAGTTCACAATTAGTCTTTTCAAATATGTTTTCTTCAACTTCGCACCAGAAGTTATCATGCACACTCGCTCCCAGGGTAAGTGGCACAAGATCTACCTTTACATCAAAACTACTAACAACGTCGCAGATGAGGAACAAGTCCGTGATCACTACGATCGGGGTGACGACTTCTATGGCTGGTTCCTTGGTCCACGAATGATCTATACCTCCGGTGTTATCTCTGACATTAACCGTGAAGAAACTTTGGAAGAATTGCAGGATAACAAACTCGCCATTGTCTGTGAAAAGATTGGTCTTAAGCCTGGTGAGAAGATGTTGGACATTGGTTGTGGATGGGGAACCTTGGCCAAATTCGCCAGTGTTAACTTCGGTGCAAAGGCTACTGGTATCACTCTTGGCCGTAACCAAACTGCCTGGGGTAACAATGGACTTCGCAAAGCTGGTATTCCTGAAGAGCAGAGTAAGATTTTGTGCATGGATTACCGTGATATTCCAGTTCCCGAGGGAGGTTATGACAAGATTACATGTCTCGAGATGGCTGAGCACGTTGGTATCCGTCACTTGACAAGCTTCTTGAAGCAATGCCACGATATGCTCGAGGATGATGGAGTTATGTTCCTTCAAGTAGCTGGTTTGAGAAAGACTTGGCAATACGAGGATCTCATCTGGGGTCTTTTCATGAACAGATACATCTTCCCTGGTGCTGACGCTTCTACTCCTCTCAACAACTATATTAACTCCCTCGAGAGTGCTGGATTCGAAGTTAAGGGTGTCGACACTATTGGTGTTCATTACTCAGCAACATTGTGGAGATGGTACAGAAACTGGATGGCCAACAAGGAGAAGGTTGTCGCTAAATACGGTAACAGATGGTTTAGAGTAAGTCTTCATGATTGCACGAATTGTCGCACATACTGACAATAACAGATTTGGGAATACTTCCTCGCTTCCTCTACTATTATCTCCCGTCAAGGATCTGCCACCTGTTACCAAATTACCTTGGTAAAGAATCTCAACTCTGTCCACCGTATTGAGGGAATTGCAACACAATTCGGATTATCTGGCGCACTAGCTGCCGCCAAAGCCGATGTTCAGGCATACCGATCCAGAAAAGCTGCAGGTGGTGTCAGTGAAGATGTCGCCAGCGCATAAATGATTGATTGAATGATTGAATGAATATATTACAATCGGTAAAAGGGTTTGGAGAGCCTAATTAAGATATTCAAGTATCTATATATTTATCGATGGGATACACAGAGCTAGATGTGTGACTGCATTCGTGGCTATATGCCAAAAGGGGATGAAGGGCCAGACCTTATGTAGAAAAGCTTCGAGCTTGTGGTATAATCTAGGTGATGCAAGTACTTGTGTACCTGAATACATGTAGCTTCAATCAATGATTTTTCGTACCAAAATGATTAGAAGTGATTCAAATGCACCAATATTTCCAATCAGTGACTTCAATTGACGTTGAAACATCAATGTTGAATGATGATACGATACACATTTATTCAGCCCCTTTAACATTTTGTCGCAAAATCGGTGAAACTTGGGTTGTATGTATTTGTATATTAGAGGTCGCTAAGCCCAGCCTCTATGGTAACAGATTACCTGAGCTTCGTCATTTCGACCCCCGGACCGTGGTATCTTCTACCAACCTCGAACCCATTCCTTCAAATAAATGTCACAAATCTATCTTTCTTCATACCTATTTCTTTTTTGTTCATACTCATAATGTTTTCGGGTTCGAACTCGTACCTTGGTGGTAACACTGGCCGCCAACCACCACAACAACCGCAACAACAATATGGTGGTTTCCAGCCAAACCAAGGTTTCCAACCACAGCAGACTGGTTTCCAGCCACAACAGACTGGTTTTCAACCTCAACCCACTGGATATGGAAATCCGGCTCCTTTACAACCAAATTTCACGGGTTATCCACTTCAAGCACAGCCTACGGGATATCCTCAGCAATCTCAAGCAGGCTTCCCTGGAGGCCAGCAGCAACAGCAGCAGTTCAACAATGCTCCTCAACAGCAGAACTTCCAAACGGGAGCTCCCCCAATGCCGCAGATCCCGCAGCAATTCCAGCAGCCTCAACAGATGCAACAAGCTCAACCACCCCCTGCACCTCCTGTGCAGCAACCACAAGCGACCGGATTTGCCGCAATGGCTGATTCATTTAAACCTGCTGCTGCAGAACCATCGAAGCCAAGAGGTCGCAGAGCCTCTAAGGGGGGAGCAAAGATACCTAGTATAAGACTTTCCTTCATCACAGCCCAAGATCAAGCAAAGTTCGAAACTCTTTTCAAGTCCGCTGTTGGGGATGGGCAAACACTTTCTGGAGAGAAATCGAGGGATCTTTTACTACGCTCAAAATTAGACGGGAACTCTCTGTCGCAGATATGGTAAGCATTAAATTATTCAATGGATATAGTGTTGTGCTTATGGTTATTATAGGACGCTCGCAGATACTACAAGATCTGGACAGCTACATTTTCCCGAATTCGCATTAGCTATGTACCTCTGCAATCTCAAGCTAGTCGGCAAACAATTACCATCCGTGCTTCCCGATGTTATCAAAAATGAAGTTTCTAGCATGGTGGATATCATAAATTTCGCCATAGATGATGATGCACCAGCGGCAACGAATGCGCCCAATTTTGATGGTCGACAAAACACCGCAACACCTCCGACTATCCAACAGCCACAGCCAATGGCGTCTAACTCCGCACTTCTCACTGCGCAAATGACTGGTTACCCTGGACAGCAGAATAACTTTTCGGCTGGATTTCAACCTCAGCAAACAGGTTTCCAGGGCTCAATGCAAACTGGCTTTCCTGGACAGCAAGGAGGATTGCAGCCTCAGCAAACCGGGTATAATCAAATGTCAAATCCTCAAGCAACGGGATACAATGGACCGCGCCCTCCAATGCCTCCTATGCCATCCAACTTCAGTTCTCATTTGTCTCCCGCTCAGACGGGCATGCAAGGCGGAATGATCGCGCCACTGAACAGCCAGCCTACAGGAGTCGATGGCCAATGGGGTTTGGTAAATGCGCCAGCCCCCAACATTGATTTACTACATTCCCGGATGATGCCGCAACAAGGTCGAGAACAAGGCAACTTTACTACTGCCGGTATAACAGGCAATGCTGAAATTCCATGGGGAATTACGAAAGAAGAGAAGACCAGATACGATTCTGTTTTCAAAGCTTGGGATGGGTTTGGTAAAGGATATATTAGTGGTGATGTCGCCATTGAAGTTTTTGGGCAGAGTGGTCTCGAGAAGCCCGACCTGGAGCGCGTATGGACCTTAGCAGATCACGGCAACAAGGGGAAGCTTAATATGGATGAATTCGCGGTTGCTATGCATTTGATTTATCGAAAGCTTAATGGATATCCTTTACCAGCCCAACTACCTCCGGCGCTTATACCCCCTTCCACTCGTAACTTCAATGATTCGATTGGGGCTGTCAAATCTTTACTTCACCAAGAATCCAATTTCCGCAAGAACTCTGGTGCTACCCTTTTGCCACAAAAGACTGGAGTGAGCTACCTCAAAAACCATTCTTTCCGTGGTGACGCTGTTCCAGGTCGCACAGGCCGTAAAGATGCCACAGTATATAAAAACAACGACGATGATGTTGGATATAAATCTAGTGCTCGTCGCAGACTCGGAGCCACTTCTCCACGACCTGCGTCTCCGGGATCAACAACTTCTAACGATGAACTTTCTCTAGAGCAACTTAGAAAGAAAATTGCGGAGAGACAAGTGATACTAGATGCAATTGATTTCAAGGCCGAAAATGCTGCAGATGAAGATGATGCCCTTGATCGTAAAGACCGCCGTGAAGCTGAGGATCTGTATCGCCGCATTCGTCGTATTCAAGAGGATATTGATGCACATCCAGATGCATCGTTGCGTAACGTTGATTCCGGCGCCGAGCGTCGTGCTTTGAAAAGACAATTGCAGACATTGACGGATAAGCTTCCAGATATTGCTTCGCGTGTCCGAAGAACAGAAAGAAGTATTGCTGATGCCAAGCTTGAACTGTTCCGTCTAAAGGATGCTAAAGCTCACCCTGGAAGTGCCTCCAGCATCGTTGGAACCGGTCCTGGCGGCGCTATCACCGAATCAGATAGACTCAAAGCAAGAGCTAAGGCCATGATGCAACAACGTTCTGCTGCTCTCACTGGTAAGAAGATTGAGACCAGTAATGATGACTTGGATGCGCCGAAACGTCTAGAAGAAGAAAATCTCAAGATTCGAACCGAGAAGGAAAACAACGAGCGCATGGTTCAAGATGTTGAAGAAAGCGTCCGTGATTTTTCACGAGGTTTGGAGGACAGCCTAAAAGATGGCGGTGAGAGTTCATCTAGTGAGCATGAGAAGAGACGCTGGGAGGATGGGCTAGGTGTTGAGGATGAAGTCAAGGATTTCATTTTCGATTTGCAAAGGAGCAGTAGGAGTGCCAGAGTTCGAACTGATGATCGCAGCAGAGAGACTCCTCGTACTGAAGTGTCTCATGCTAGCCCTGCTCCAGCAGCTCGTAGCGAAACTCCATCGTCGCAGCCATCATCTACACCAGCCCCTGCTGGAGGTTCATACTCACAATACAAGACTCCAGAAGATAGAGCAGCTTACATCAAGCAACAGGCTGAGAAGCGCATGGCTGAGCGTCTGGCTGCTCTTGGCATTAAAGCACCATCTAAATCTGGGGAGACAACACAACAGAGATTGGAGCGTGAAAAGAATGAGCGTGCAGCCAAACTCAGACAAGCAGAAGAGGAAGATGCTAAACGTGAAGCTGAAAGGCAAGCTAGAATTGCCGAAGAGCAGGGTGTACCTCCACCTGCACCTGAGCAACCAAAGGAGACCGCCAAAAAGCCACCTCCACCTCCTTCAAGGAAGGCCGCCAGAAGTGACGCTAGTGAACGCAAGGCCGAAGAGGAAAGAATCATCAACGAACAAAAGGCACAAATTACTGCCACAAATGAGCTAGAGTAAGCGAAACTTGTATCTGACTTCTTCTACACTGCTAACATTCACAGGGATGACGCTCAACGACAAGAGATTGAGCTTGCAAAGGAACGCGAGGCGGCTCAGGCTCGTATCAAGGCCTTAGAAGACCAAATGAAGGCCGGAAAATTGAAGAAAGAAGAGGAGAAAAAGAAGAGAAAGGCTCTTCAAGCTGAGACCAAACAACAAGAAGCTCGTCTCGCAGCTCAACGCGCAGAAATTGAAGCCGCACAAGCACGTGAAAGAGAATTGCAACGTCAACTGGAAGCTATTGATGATTCCGATTCATCTGATGACGACGAAGGTCCGGAGCAGGTTACCCCTCAAGCATCAACGCCCACTCAAGGAAGCCAAGAACTTGAGCGCAAAGAACCTTCTCCACCACCTCCGCCACCTTCAATCCCAGTTGTTGTATCACCAGTCCCTGCTGCTGCAACAACAATTAGTCTCCCATCACCAACCCCACAAGTTACTAGCCCTGTTGTCAGCCCCCCAGTTGATACGGAGACCCGCAATCCTTTCTTGAAGAAAATGGCTCAATCCGGTGACGCACCTACCGCATCGACCGCATCCAACAATCCATTCCATCGCCTTCCTGCCCAAGAACTTTCAACGCCTGCACCAATTCAAGTTCAACCAACAGGTAACAGGCCATCTCGCGTTCGTCCGGAAGAAGATGATTGGGATGTTGTTGGATCTGACAAAGAGGATGATTCCTCTGACGATGAAGGACCTGGTGCAGGTGGCGCGCGTCATTTGGCATCAATCCTTTTTGGAACCATGGCACCTCCTCGCCCCTTATCATCCATGGGCAACGAAGCCTCATCTGCGCCTGAATCTCCTGCTGTAGCTTCTCCACCGGCGGCAACCCCACCACCTCCACCTCTAGTACCTAACTTCAATGCTCCACCACCCCCTCCAATGCCATCAGCTGGTGCGCCAGGTGGTCCTCCTCCGCCACCACCTCCTCCACCAGGGATGGGCGCTCCTCCGCCACCACCAATGCCTCCAATGGGAGGAGCTCCTGCTCCACCAGCAGGTGGACGACCAGCTGGTCTCTTGGGTGAAATTCAAATGGGGCGATCATTGAAAAAGACACAGACTAAAGATAAGAGTGCAGCTGCTGTTGCTGGAAGGGTCTTAGATTAAATACCTCTTTAACCATTGAAAGAGACAAGATGAAATGGAGGATTGTGATTAGCATGGCCTGAGAGAATGGATTGTATCATAAAGTACTTTTGGTTCATAGTATTGGGCAAGGGGACATAGGTATGGGAGGTACGAAACAGGAAAGATAAGAGACGAGCATAATTTGTAGTCGAAGAAGTAGCAATTTGAAAACATCCTTTCGTTTTGATAATTATCTGATGCTTTTATCGCCAGCGCAAGTTTTGTGGTTTTGCATTTGGAAATGATATTTATTGATCGTCTTGATTTCTATCT